TTTTCTGGCTGCTGGAATGAATTTGGAACTTAATCCCGGTTTTCCACTGAGCATGTCATTTAGCAGTGTCAGGGCCTGGGTGGGGTCGCTCTTGTTCAACGCAGCTTTTCAAAAAGGCTGTCGGATTCTCATCAGCTTACAACATTTTTTCAGTGCTAGAGAACAGCACAAAACTAGTTTGATAAACAACAGATTGTATATGTGCATGTGTACTCTGGCACAGAGAGATTTCTTAATTTGAAGTTGCTGTTTGGGATTTTTTTTTTTTCCTATTGAATTATTTGTATATTGAAAATATAGAAGGAACAGGTTCCTGTTGCCTCTGGATATGATGTAGCTAGCACGGAGAGGTGGAGGATGTGTATTTGCTTAAATATAATCTCAAAGAAATGTGATGCCCACATCAACAACTTGGCTACATATAGCACTTGAAGGGTATTTATGTTCTGGTTTTGCTGAAAGTTTTGGGGTTGGTTTTGTGGTTTATTTTTATGATGAGCTTTTCATGTTGTATGGGTGCTGTTACATAGGCGATGCAGTTTCTCAATGCATTTCATTTAGTTTGGGACACAGCACTTTCTAATGTTATCTGTGTTTTACACGTTTTTAGGCTGCTACCCAGCATAGCAAAACTGTTTAAAGAACTGTTTAACTTTCTCTTTAAAGAATTCTCACTTGTTTTCATGTCTCATAGTGTTATCTTTGCTTTCTGGACAGTTGTATCTCTTCCACTAAATTTTCCTTTAAAACAAATCTTTTTAAATTGTATATGGATTGCAGTAACCAAGTTATTCACCAGACAAAATAGAGATGGCCTGCAGCAGGTGTTTTCTGAAAAGTTCAGAGCACTTGAGTGATAGGAAAGAGATAGGTGGTGTTGTCCTGCTGCTTTAGCAGGAAAAAATTTCTGAAAAATAGTAGTGTTCCTGGATTCTGCTTTGACTTTACAAAGAGTTGAGGTAACTTCCCTGATATGCTTTATAAGAATTTGTCAGCATAATAGAATATTTTCACAATAAAGCTATCTAGACTGCAGATACTCACTTGACAATTTTAGAGAGAAATAGGTTTGTCCCCTTTCATTTGCTGTCTATAGCCTTGATTTTAGTTTGTTTTATTTTCACAGTGATCTTCAGAATTACTTTAGTACTTGTCTTATATTGCCGTTTCAGAAGTATCGTTTAAGTTCACACCATTCTATGTAGGGACTTCTCAAGAGTTTTTCTGGAAAGTCCCTGTGTATTCTGTGTATTGCAAGGAATGATGACATATTTGCAGTAATTTTCTAGCACTACAAAAATTGGTTCTAGAGAGTTAATGATATTTCAGTGTTTATATAAGGACAAAAATGTTTTCCTAGTCATGCAAGAAGGCTACTGTGTTTGGAAGGGAAATGTATGCTTGCAACATCCAGCTGTGTAATGGGTGGCATGGACGTAAATGTGAGGGATAGCAAAATACCTGCTGTTTCAAATAGTGACTTCACTGTCTAGGTAAAAGGATGATTGTAAGTGTAGTTATCATTAACTCTGGGGCTGCTAAGCACTGTGACACACCTGGAATTCTCTGGAAACTGTATTTGATAGACATAGGACCCTTTGGGAAGACACCCTTTTGTGCCATTTCTGCTCTTGGAGAATAAGCTTAGATGCTATGTGAATATGTGTATATACTTAGGCAGACACATGTTCATGTACACATGTAACTAATTTTTTTTGTCATGGAGTAATTCACTGTCTGGCTCTGAAGTTGTATTTATTACAATATGTTACGTTACTACTCCTGTGAAAGTGTTCAGTTACTTGTTGTAAGTTGGGAATTACACTTGAAATTGGAGTATTGGTGTTAAAAGTTCCGCCTTTGAAATGTGCTCCTGATTTTTAGAACTATTATGGCACCATCTGCTGACCAATGTACAGACTGGCAATGGCAGTTTGCTCACCTGGTTACCTCCTTGCAAATAAACTTCCAGTTTAGGAGGCAGTTGGACCAGAATCTTAAGGAAAAAGGGTGATTTTTTAGTTGTTTTATATTTGGGAAAAATATTTTTAGCAGGAGATATTATTGCAGTGGCAACAGTTTGAATCATAATGTACCTTTTAGTTCTCTAGTCATCTGGATTATTGCATCAGGCTCCTCCATGAATTACAAAGCTTTATAAGAAGTAAGTTTTGGGTGTCTTTGACAATATGTGGCATAGGATTGTTTGTGGTAGTCTCTTGGTCAATGCATTACCTTCTAAGCCTACAAAGAAGGGCTGCGATGGCATGAGATCAGTTCAGGCCCCAGCTCTGGTGTATTGTCACAGCGTGGGAAATTGATGGGCTCTGACAGGCTTCTGCCCTGTGGCTACTGCTGAGGCTCGCAAAAAAGCAGTCTGCAGTCTGTCTCTTCAGTGCAGGGAAGGGCATGTAGACCTGATATCCTGTCTCTCAAGGGATGTGTAGTTCTAGTGCCGAAATGAAACTCTAGAAAAAAGAAATCATGTCAAACTCGTGGTAAAGAAGGTAGATATTTTGGGAAGTTTGGGAAGACTATCTCTTACACTTTTGGTCATTACCCTTGTTCAGTAAATTCGTCTATCTCTTAAGAGCTCATTCAGAGACTACTGGGAGTGTAAAGAAATCTACAGGCTTAACAAAGACATGTGTTTTATAGGTTTTCCTCTCTATTTGTAACCTTTTTCCCCCTGGAAAAGCACTGAAGCTGGACGCTTGTAGGAAATACAGCTTGTGGAAGAAATCACCTCCTGCTGTGGGCATCAAATGGAGGCTTTAAATGAACATGGACAGACCTATTCAGACAGGAGCTGTAACAAGTTTCCCTTGCCTCTGCAGGGTAACGCCAAGTTCTCCTTTTAACTATACCTTCGATTATGAAACCTGGACACTTGGAGATGCAGAACCTTTCTTGTTTCACACTGAGCAAGTTTGTACCACCTACTGCTGTCCTGTCTAGATTTAATCAGTTAAGATGTGTAACTTTGTATCCTCAGTTCCTTTTATTGTTAGAACAATACCATAGGGACGTATTTACATAGTGATTTATTTTGCTTAGTTCTAAGGAATTCTCTAGAGATGCCTCCTATTTGACTGTATAAGCAAAATATGATCTTAATTTTAGGAGTGGGGTACAATGAATTTTTATTAGTGCATACGTGCATTTGTGCATATTTTGGACAGTAAAAAAACCATGCAGGGAATGCAGTGATTTTTCTTTCCTGTAGCTTCTTTGAAGATTTGTTTATCATGTTCTCTAAAATTTTTCAAGCTACTTTCTGAGGAGAAATTGGTTCACTCTTAGAGATGCATGAGGAAAAAAAATCATCACCATGTCTGTTAATAATGAAATCTCCATTTTGACTTTATTAAGCGGAGTGGATTGCTAATCTCTGATCAGCAGAAGTTTGGATTTTTCTCTTAGGGAAAGTTGATTCTAGCTCTCTCTATATTGTTCACTTTGATAATAATTTTTTACATTATTAAGATTGATACCTACCTTTAGGAAAGAACAGCTGCAATTTGATGTATATGAAGGTGACAGCAAAATGGAATTTGACTGGTAGGTGCTTTAAAACTAGCATACTAATACGTGGCTTTAAATAGCAAATTCACTGGAAACCTGCTCTTCAGAGGCCTATTATCTCTGAGATAAATAATACTTACTTAAATATTAATACTCTGTCACAACAAGCTTTATTTATAGTATTAAAACTTGAAGGGTTTTATAAAAAGTGAAAGAAATTACTACATAACTAATATTTAAGCTTGACGTGTATTCAGAAGTCTCTATTGCAGCAGTAAAGATACTAACTTTTCCTTCAGTTTCCCCAATTGGCAAATGTTTTGTTTTAAACAGTGACGTTTAAAGTAAAAAACAAGGAAATGCTCGCAACTTGTAGTTACTTTTGGTCTCGAGGTCCATGCTTAATATGAGTTTGCCTGTAGATGGTTCAAGGCTCCCATGTCTAAGCTTCTTACTAAGTTAACTGTCAAGTTTGTTCCCATTGGCTCAGTATTGTTTGTCTCCTTTGCCAGAAGGGCATATCACTTGTATATTTAGGCATCTATTAGCTTCCTTTTTTTTTTTTCTTTTTCCCCCCCTTTTATTCTTTATCTTCTTTTTAATTTTTATTTTATTTCTTTCTCCTTGGGAATGGCTTAGTCTAACTTTGTCTGACTACTTATCAATATGCCTTGGAAAACTGGAGGCAAAGTGTTGCTGCTGCCTTGTGATCTGAACTAGTTTCCAGTTGGCTTGAGGTACAGTTTGAAGTCTTGTGCAAGTTAACTGCATCAAGCTTGAATTAGATTACTCCTTGACTTTTTTTTGGGCAGGTGTGAGGGCAGCAGCTTTTGCATTCATCAGGAGTCCTGAACTAATAGCCTCCTGATTCTAATGGTAGGCACTGATGACAATTGTTTATAATAAAAATCGTCCATTGTTTTTTTTATAAATGTGATTGTAAATAACTTGCTAAGCTTCAGGCCGGCCAGCCAGACCATCAGTTTAAAACTTAATTGTTTTAAGAAGGTTGTAAATAAGTACCAGTGACAACTAATGGAATCTAACCATCTTAAACTTTGTTTGTTGGACCCTAGTGTGCGTATTTTTGTTGGCTCACTTCAATAAATTGGAAAAAATAATTACTAAGTTCTCAAAGTAATGCAGCAAAATACAGTGCCACACAGCTAACAGAATTTGTTTATTCTAGTCAATGTTTTTTTCAAGAAATATCAGTAATGTTAAGATAAAGGGGAAGGAAACTATTGGTAGATCTGTCTAGAGTAGTACTTTTGAAAATCTTTGTGCAGAGCACTGTTTTAGCTTACTGCTTTTACTTGAGTAGAGAATTTGAAAAGAAGTATTTCTTTAACCAAATAATTTTACTTTAGGAACTCTTGTAGGTTATTACTGCAAATAATTTTAGAGTCAGTAAAAGTAGTGATGCTACATAACAACTATTTTTATTGTTACTTCTTTTAGAGTTAGTTGTGACAATGACAACTGAAGTTGGCTCAGAGACTGAAGTAAAGAAAGATTCTGATCAGCTGGGACCAGACAAAGCCAAGGACAAGCCTGAAGAAGCATCAGAGACTTCAGAAAATCAAAAGTCCAAGGAAACATCCTCTGAAGAAGTTAAAGATTCTTCCTCTGTCCCAGCACCAACTAGCCAAAGTAGTCCAAGTAGCCAGAAGAAGGAAAAAACTTCACCTGAAAGCAAGGGTATTTCTCGTTTCCTTCCCCCCTGGCTTAAGAAACAAAAATCCTACACTTTGGCAGAGCCCAAAGATGAGACCAAGAAGAGGACCACAGGGGAACAAATAGCTGAAGAAAGTGAATGCCAGACACAGGAGGGGGTGTCTCAGCCAAAAAAGAGCTTAGAAGTATTAGTGGCTGAAAATCAGCAAAATGCTAAAGCAGATGACAAAGAAGAAAACCATTCCGTTAGTAGTGCTGAAACACAGGTATGTGTGGGAAGGCTAACAGATGATTTGAAGCCATTTTTATGAAATCTGATTCACGAGTTCTGTAATTCATGTAAAGCTTTGTTAGATCATACTGGGGAAAAAAATGACAGCTACTGTCTGCCTTTTTTAAAACAGTTGGGTTGATATGAGTGGCATAGCTGGTTTTAAAGGTTTCTACTCTGTGGCAGACCGTTTTTCACTCCAGTAAATACAAAAAACCCTCACACTTTGGCAAAGGAACATTTAACTGCAGCATTGTGGTAGAAGTGAGCGGGGATCAGAGGAGAAGCTTCTTAAATCAGCCTTGTCTCTGAAGCTATTGGATCGCACAAATACTTCCTTAGTGACTTAATCACAACAAATAGCAAACAGATTATCTCTGAGTCCTTATAATCTCAATTTTTGTTATCCTTTACCTAGAAACCATGCTTGTGGTCATCTCCTCACCGATTCATTCTAAGAGGTTGGTGATAAGTTCCAAGCCAAACTCCACCTTCTGCAGCACTCCAGCGTCTTGCTTTTTGGAAAGTTGTGTGTTAGTTCTTAACACTCAAATCTCACTTTCTAAGGTGGTGAAGGTGATTGAGGGCAGAGAGAGTCTTTCATATGAGGAGGGGCTGAGAAAGCTGACACTGTTCAGCCTGGAGAAGAGAAGGGTCAAGGAGAATCTCACCAATGTGCATAAATACCTGAAGTGAGGGAATGAAAAGGAGCCAGGCTTGTATCAGTGGTGTGCAGTTCAGGGACAAAAGGCAAGGGATACGAATTAAAACCATGAAATTCCATCGCAAATCACAAAAAAGTCTCTTTTACTCTGATGGTGAGTCCATCACTGAAACAGGTTGCCCAGAAAGTCTCCATCCGTGAAGATACTCAAAACCCAACTGGGTATGGTCCTGGGCGAACTGCTGTAGGTGGATCTCAAGGGGCCCTAGGGCTATTGGACTAGATGATCTCAAAGACATTCCTTCCTACCTCATACTGTCATTCGGTGTAACCTGACTTTTCTAATCACTTGGTTTTTAGTTTTGTGTAAGTCCTGGAGCTTAGATTTGTTTCTGTTAGGGAAAAAAAGCCAATAAGACATTAAAAATATTACCTCATTTTAAAGAAAATAAAATGCCAAACCCCAAAACCAGGAAAGGACCTTCTGTGGTTTGAGAGCTAGACTATCTGGTCCCCAAAGGAAGACCTTAATGCTTACACTGGTTATTTTTCTTCCAGTATGTGCATAACTTAAATGAAAGTTTTATGAACAAATTAAAAATACCCACCTTCCTGAGTTGCAGTTATTTTTTTTAACTGCTTTTTGTATAGCCTGCCAAAGAAGATGGAAAAGAAACAAAAATAGAGCAAGTTGCAGAAGAAAAGGCAGAAAAACCAGAAGGAAAAGAAAAAAAGGAGACAAAAGAAGTGCAGACAGCTGAAACTAAACCAGAAAACATTCCTCAGAAGTCTCCCAAGAAAATCAAAACTGTGCAGTGTAAAGTGATGCTTCTGGATGGCACGGAATACAGCTGTGACCTAGAGGTAAGAGATCGAGTTTCTATAAAGAGAGCTCTTTTTTTGCAGAGAAGAAGAAAATTTGCTTTCTTTGCACTGATAGTTTAACAAACACATTTTTGTATATTTAGAGAGGCCGTTACAGTGTTACATTCACATTGCTATGTGTCATGGCTTAAACCTGCAGGCAGCTACTCCCCACTCAGCCACTCACTCACTCACCCCCTCTGCACTCAGTGGAATGGGGGAGAGAATCAGAAGAATAAACAGTAATATTCATGAAATGAAGACAGTTTTAATAGGACAGAAAAGGAAAGGGAAATAATAATAGTGATCAAAGAATTTGAATATATAAAAGAAATGATTCACAATGCAATTGCTCTCTACCTGATACCGCTTTGCATTTACAACTGAAAAATTCTATTTTGCTGTATTTTAAGTCTATCATGATTCAGTTAAGTTGGTTGGCAGGAAATAAGTTTGATTGTTTGTAATAAATGAGAATTCTCTGTAAGAAAAGAAGCAAAATTAACTAAGGAGGGGGACAAAGTGGTATAGAAGCAGCTTGTTTTATATGTTCACTGGAATCATTTATGAGACATGAGCAGTGCTTACTGCAATTTTATAGATGAATTCATGTTCTTAAATACATGTAGAACTCTTTATGCTCTATTACTTTACTAAAATATTAGTAATTACTTTACTAAAATATTAAAGTCTCAGTTGCTTCAGCTGGTATTTGAAATACCAGTTCATGGTATCTGCAGTGGATCCTAGTAGATCACTTTCTGATACTGATCTTTTCTTTAGTATCCCTTTAGTAATATTTAGTGTTCGGGTAAATGTTTTAGTTCTGCTTTTACAAAGTAATAGAAATTATACAACATTTAAAAAGGAAATGAACAAAAACTCCGCATCTAAGCACAAAGTGCAAAACCCAGTTTACCTTGGTTGACTTTCTAGTAATGCAGTTTTTAGTTTGGAGCAATTTCCATGGCTGAGACATTCTTGATGCCTCTTCCAGTGTTTACTGTGCACTGTAGATGAACTTCATCATATTTTATTTATGTTAGAGGCAATTCTTTAAATATACTTGCTCATAAGGAATTAAAACTGAAAAATACATTGTTTACATTGCTGTTACTTTACAGACAGCTTTTGGTATGAACTCTGTCTTTTTCTAACTGCTATCTTAAACTTTCACAATAAACCAGGACAAAATCTGAGATAATACACTATTTCTTGGGGTCTCTTCTGTTTGAGTTACGATCATGTTCATTTTTTTTTCTTGTAGAACTGCATCAGTTTATGCTTATATAACTTAGAAGGAGTGTGAAAGAAAACAATTTGTTAAATTTTGTCATTGTTCATTCTTATTGCATATATAAGTCCGTAGCTGGGAAAGGGCATAAAAGGAGATAAAGCCATGATTGAATAGCTTCAGTATCAGCACATGGATCAATGCTTGCACTAACAAGCTGATAGGATTATCAGCAGTAACTAAATACTGAAACTTTTGTGGCCAATTAGTAGATACAATACTATACAATTAATTTGTAACAGGTGTAACCATAATGCAAGAGGATTTGATATTTAAATTCAGATATTGTATACCATAGATTCACCAGAATCTTAATAGTTAATCTTGAAGTGGATAATGCCTTGTTTGTTTTCAAAATAAAGAAAAAAAAAAAGGTACGGATGCACTGCTCTTACTCTATAAGCTGTTCTAGTAAGAAAAACTTCACTTTTCCAGCTTAGAATCATAGAATCGACTAGGTTGGAAAAGATTGGAAAGTCTCAGCTTTAGCAAGGCTTTTGACACTTACGCATAATTGTTCTAGACAAATTACTTACGGGCTAGGTAAGTGGGAAGTCATGAGGACCGGAACCTGGCTCAACTGTTGGGTTCCCAAGGTTGCAGACAGCAGCCTGAGGTCCAGCTGGAGACTGGCCACTAATGCTATATTAAAGGCATTGATTCCAAGGCAATTAATGATGTGGATGAGGGCCTGAAGTATATCTTCTAGGTATGTCAATGATAAAA